GCCTGTAGCGCTGCATGGGGTTGTTCTGGTTGCCATTGATCCAGATGACAAAGACTTGCACATATTCCCATGTCCACCTGGATATGAAACCGTGGCAGCTGGCAAACCAAGAGTCCCACGGCTGATGCTGCTGAGCTGGAAGAAAAGCTGGTATTTGGAAAGTGTGGGAATGAGCTTTCTCCTCTAGCGTAGTTTAAATGATTTGGCCAGAACCTCAGGTTTAAGTAATGTTTTTTATTCTCAAAGGCAGATTCCAGTTAAGTTATGGTAATGAACTTTTTACCTATACAAGCGTTCGGCTGTTTAAGTTTGTATCTCTTATGTGAGGAAGCTTGTTCTGCGTACTTGGCTTTCTGTGCAGCCTATTCAATGCACCCTGGGCTGGATTCTCCCTCCAGCTATATTTTGATCTGCCGGAATTTCACATGCATACACAGTTTCGTTCATACTCTGGCTCCTCAGTAACCAGCAGGGTTGAGTTGGGGAAGCTGGGTTGGAAATGACCTTTCCGTTCATCTGGTCACAGCGCATCGGTACAGTCTAGGAGCAATCCTGGGGTTGGCCAACTGGAGTTGAACAAAAGGAGCTGCTTTTTTAGGTCCTGCCTCCGCTCTGTCGCCCATAGCCCTGCCACATCCCTCTCTGACACATGCTTTGGGTGGATGGAGGTGAGACAGAGAGAGCCCTGGCCGCAGGGGACTCCCTGGCCCCTTCTTCAAGACAGCTCTCCAAACCCCTCGGCCTTCCAAGGACCTGCCACAGGAGCCAGAGGCTAGAGCCCTGGCTTTCCCAAAATGTTGGAGATGAAAATGGGGCAAACACTGCTTTTAAACCCTTGGTGCTGTCCTGTACCCAGCCCTCGGCATTTGCCTAGCCTAATCGACGAGCAGGTGCACTGGTGTTTTATTGTTCTCTGCAATTCTTGTGGCCAACCAGGAATAACTCAGGTGTTTCATTGCCTAGGTAGACTTCTTGGGGGATTCTCAAAGGTATTTTGAAAGCAAATATGCTCTGAAAAATCCCAAAGGCAGCTGACACCTGGGTGCCCATAAAATATGACTTCCACATAACTTGCATATATATTTGCAGAAGAGATACACAAAGCTTCTATAGAGAACATTTTAAAAGTCTGATAAATGCATATTCATAATTTTCTAGCTCCAGAAATATTTTACAGGTCATACACCTGGGGTGCTCAGTAAAGGACCTGTGAACAAATATTTAAACACATTTAAGAGCCATTGTAGTAGTAAGGAATCTGACACTTTTTTCAATTGCACTACAAGCATCTACCTGCATTTTTAGGTAAATACTGGTTATCGGGGATCATGGTTTTTTCAGTTTTGAATCAAGTAAAATTCTCATTCAATCCAGACACTTCTGCAGGATGTGACCTGTAAGATAGTGCATTTTATTTTAAGTGCTCTTAAAAATTAATTGCAAGTTTTTTTACTTTAGTATTTTCATTGCTTCTGAGATAGTAATATCCTGTTGTTTGTTCTTGCGTTAACAGTACAAGTTTTAAATACAGTTTAGATTCTTTTTTTTTCCTTCTTTATTAACTTCCCATGTATTTCCTTAGGATACTGAAATTAAAATACTACTTTAAGCAAAACTTTACAATCCCTTGCAATTGGAATTGAAGAATGCTTTTTCTTAATGAGTAGCTAAGTCAATACATCTGTACGTGCTTGTTCTCATGTGGTCCCATAACCCAAAGGAGAAGCAAACACCAGTTACACAAATGCCTGCTTGTCCTGACTTCAGCGAGAGTGGATTTTTAGCTGTTTATTTATCTGGAATGTTGTGCTTTGGCTCACCTTAACCCCTTGGTTTGGGTACGTATCTTAGCAAAGCACAAGTATTTTAACCCTGTTGCAGCAATTTAGGGAGGGATTGCCGTCATTTTGGAGACGCTAAAAGGTGCCTGCCGTTTCATCCAATTTTAATTGTGTACCTATATCTCACTGGGAATATTTCATAACGTGCCAAAATCTTGAGATATTTTACTTATGTTATGTTTGGCTCTTCACCGCCCTAAATGCAATAACTTGTATTCTGAGCAATTCTGAGCAAAACCCTTTGCACGTGGTTTCTGCAGCAGGTAGCTATAGTATCCTCTCCAAGTAGGTGGCAAAATTTTCTACTGAGTTGTACGTAATGAAGCTTTTCTTTTCTAGTCCATCAAGAACAGTGAATATAATCAAAACCAGATAAACTTTTAAGAGTTTCTGATTGCTCACTGTCTGTTTGATCAGTTCTAAGCAGGGCCCTAAATTCCCAGTAACACTTTCTTGAATTTTTAGAAGAACAAAATTAACCCAGTCCGTTTCCTGAACACTTGGAGAATACCCTAAATACCTGTTATATTTTCCTAGTTTGAGCTAGTAAGATAACACACTCTTTATTTCTGCTTGTATTAAGTAGCAAATGAATTTATACATATTTTATTCACAGTCTAATATAGCCCATGTTCAGAATGTTTCCTTTCTTTTGGTGTCATGTGTATGTATGTGAATAATTTTTATTTTGCAGCATGCTGTTTTGGGCAGTGTGAGAGAAAGTTAACTGAATTTCCTGTAGTATACCAAGTAACTCATAAATGCCTTGAAGACCTCCAGTGAAACTAGGTTCTTGCTGGGTAGTAAATACGCGCTTGAGTGAGTTGCAATACAGTGTGTCGGTTGTTCTTGGGCTTGTGTCTGTCAGTACTATCTACAAGATGTTGAAGCGCACAGTATTACGAGCTCTACTAGGAATTCCTGTCAAGACAAAATAGTTGTGCCAAGAGGAGCATAAGATTTGTTGAACAAATGCTGCTCACGTTGATTGCGGTGCTGGTTTCTCTAGTGTTAGCAAACCCTGTACGGAATAATCCGTAACTCCTGCAGTTTTCATCTGTGCCTGCTTCTCTATCAAAATGATGAACTGTTGATAAATCACAGGTGAACGCTAGCAACTTTCCAGAATCTAAGATAGTTTGATCATGAGAAGAAAAGCAAACTGGGATAAGCAAACCTGTGTCTCAGTTCAAAGTTGCTGAATACCTTCGCGCTTGTTTTGTAACAGGAACAGTAGAAGTGGTGGAGAGGAAGTTTTTGCTTTGCAGATCACTAATCAGAGGGTGTCTTGTTTCTGTCCTCTTCCAGAAATCGAGGCCAAGGAAGCCTGTGACTGGCTGCGGGCTGCCGGGTTCCCGCAGTACGCGCAGCTTTATGAAGGTAGGCACCTGATCTTGCAAGTTGATCATCCCCTGGCAATTTTTGGACAATAAGATGTAATATTCACCAATAAATAAGGTTCAGGGGCACAACTGAAGTGCCAGTACATAAGATGACTTTTCGGCTGCTCTCTGCTACCCACCACACGCATAGATGTACCAAACCCAATGAGACTCTGAAGCGCTCTTGGAGTTTTAAATTTGTTCCAGGTTTCTGTTTTAGTCTTGAATCTTCCAAATGTCCTGATAGCACAAATGTTATTTTAGCACCGTGGTACATTCCCTGTAGTTAAAACACAAATGAACTATATTTTCATGAATGTAGTCATCCACTTCTACGAGCCCAGTCTTAGAGAAACACAGAAGCTGTGGCCAGCTCCACTGGCCAGCTCTCCTAATGGAGCAGAGGTAGGAAATTCTGCGTATGAGTGGATATATCTGTATGCCTCGTGATTCCCAAGTCCTGTGTGTTTTTTCGCAACGGTGTGGGTTTTTCTGTGGTTCAGAACGGAAGGGTTGGTTCCCTTCACAGGCTCACTATGACGGGAAAAAAGAACATACAAGCCGTTGTTGCACAGATAAAAAAAAAAAAAAAGCCGTTGTTGCACAGATGTGCAGCAGCTCCTCGAAGAGACTGCTGCCTCCTGCACTCGCTTGTCCTTCTGTGGGAGGATTCACTTTGGGTGTCCGCTTTTACAAAGGTTTTGCTCAGTTAAAACTGTTGTCTTCATTGCCTTTCTAATCTACGAGGAACTTCCAGTTTTGGCATACAGTTCTTACTCTCTGATGCAGAGTAACATACAGAAGTTTGTTTTAAAGTGCGACGTTCTTTTTATATATATATATATATTATGGTTCAGAATTTCCCCCCTACACCACTTAAAATTACTTGCATTGTAGTGAAATTATTATGCACTCTTATCTGCCTCTTCTTTTTTATAAAACAAACTCCAGCTGCTGCTTGTAAGAATGAGCATAGAAAGTCCATTATTTACAGTGAATAACTGTTGGAAATTACAGCAAATGCTGAGCTAACCTTCTTGAAAAATGATCTCATTGAGCTTTGATTTGCAGCTGCATTGGCAATATGAGATGATAATAGCACTTTCAAAAGCAGCACTTGGCAAAACTTTTCTTCGCCTGTTCAGAAATTGAATTTCCTTTTATTATTTCTCTTCCTTTTTTTTTCTTTTTTATTTGCGCTAATGGAGATGCCAAGATTTTCTTGGGATGCAGAGGTGGGACTGTACTTCTAGTCTTTGTTAAAACTGGGGACAAGACTCTCAGCTGAATATGTGGGCTTGCGGGTTTCATGTTATGCTGAGCTGTAAATCCCCTAACAAATTACTTGCATTCAGAAAACATGTCCTACCTGTGGTTACCATCGCCCTACCTAAAGACTCGAAACTTATATAAAGTTTCTAATGTAGGGCCATGTCCTGCCTAACATCAAAAGGACTGCAGAGGTGAGAGCGAGAGGTGAGAGCAAGGCCAGCCATACCCATTGAAAAGACAGCTGTCCCTATATGAAAACAATATACCATTGTCCTTTGCAAGCCCCCCCGGTAGCAGCAGCAACAACAAAAACAGCAGCAGCATAAATTAAGCATTAAAAAAATGGACTCGTGGAGACTATCAACTTCTTCCAAGTCACCTCTCTCTTAAGTTCTCCCGTATCTTTTCTTGTGGGCATGCTAAGGTACTAACTTTCTCAGAGGAAAAACTTATACCAGCACTGGTGAAAAATACCAGTTGAATGTGCTCACCCCGTTTATTTGCACCTCAGATTTAAAATAGTGAAGGGGAGACCTATGGAACAATTCGGAGTAGTACAAGAATTCTGAGAAGTCACCTGTAGGGAGTGGTCCCATGCAGTACGCATTTAAAATGGAGATTAATCAATGAGCCTTTGTCAGTTGCTTTGCTAAAACTGCAGTTTTCTGTAGAAAAGCTAGAATTTCTTCCATTTCACAGAATATGTCATAACTTGTTTATTCCTGAGGCGAAATCAGGACAAATAGTTCATTTGAGAGATTATCTATTGGTATAAAAAAAGTCAGGATATTAATTACCTTTTGACAAATTAGCACCAATCCTAGTCTTTTCATCATTTCAGCTCGCTCTTTCCTAGTCTCTGGAGATTACAATATTTTATAGACAATCACTTGGACCAGGAAAGTTGTATGCAAGTGCAACAGTATATTCGGAGTGTGTTCTTGTATTGCTGCGTGCCCTGAACACCCGGTGGCTTTGGTG